TTTAACTTCTATTACTTATAATTTTTCGTTAACTGTGTATTTTCATTTTGATATAACTTGAACTCTTGTGTTTGAAAAGTAACTGGTAAATATTTTAATTCATAAAACTTTCAAAGTTACAAAAAGGCATGGACTTTTTTGTGAAGGATATGTACAGTATGACAACAAGAAAAGTGTGCAGCACAATTTTTACTTTTTAGAATTTGTTTTAGCCTAATTCTTCTGTAAAATCTTAAAGAATTACAAAACATACATTCTGTATATGTACTTTTTATAAAGGAAGATACCAAATTAAAACATGTATAATAACATAACTTTATTTACTCTATCCAGTTTGCCCTAATCTTAAAGAAACAAAACGAAATAGAAAACTATGGAAATATAACCTTCTGCACAAAAACTTAAACTTTTATAAAAGTAGTTGAACAATTTAAAAAATGTTAAATGGTCACCATTCTCTAGTACCTGACTGCAAAAAGAACACACAACACTGAAAGGTAATATCTCAAGACATTTCCCATAATACTTCAAATAAATAATATTTCCCTAAATCTTGCAGTGGTTATAAAAATATTGATAAAAATGTTACTCTAAATATTTGGTTAGCTTAAAGTTTTACAAAATTATATGCCCCCCAGTAGCTCAGCAGTAAGTCTGAGGGCTTACAATGCTAAAAATTGGGTTCCGGTAATCAGCTATGTGCTTAATAAACAAACACTAAGAATATACTTGACAAATTCTGATATACCTTCCAAAATCAGAACAGCTGCTTTCGAGAGAAATTTTAAATCAATGCTTATAACTAGCCTTACCTATATATTTGAAGTATCTGATGAAGTGGTTGCTACAGTTTTATCTGTCATTTTTTGTCTCATTTATTGTATTATTTGAAAATAAAGAATGTATAATTCACTAAGAATTTTGTAGATCTAGTAGAGTGATGATCTCTGTTAATAATGTATCAAAGGTAAGTGTACAGAAATGCATATTTTTCATTAGCTGGGACCGATGTGTCTCGGAAGATTATATTTGTCCAGACACTGAAGACAACAGAAAGCTACAGAAGCAACTAGCTGAAGAAGCAGCAGAAAAGTTGTAAGTTTATAGATTTTCATGCTGGCTAGAATCAATTCTTTCAGTTAAAGTTGCCCTTTATTAAAAACATAATGAAAAAAAAGTATCATATTTGCTATCTTAAGTAAAATGTGAATGCTTATCATGTATGCAAGTTAAGAAATATTAACTTACTTGTCATCCAGTGCTAGCAATAGCATCTTGGTAATTTCAGTTTGCTACAAGTTTATTATTTTGTATTAATTCAGTATATTTCAACTTTCGGGTGCTGAAAGTTGGCTGTCTCAAAATGTAAAAACAAATACCTAGTTAAAAATGGATGTTAACAACTGGAGTGTTTAATATATTAAACCAAAAACAACTGATTTCTATTAATATTAATGTTGTGGAGTAAAGAACTATGAAAGTTTTCACCCCACAGTTACTCCACAACTGAAGGATAAACTGTCATAGTTCTTTAAGTTTTCTCTTAAACTTTTCTTTGAAACAAGACTTATTGTACAATTAATACTTAATGAGACAAAAAAATGTTTAAGGTCTGAAGTGGTAGTGTTTTAATTTCAACAAAAAGAATTTACAAAAGAAAATTTTCAGAGTTAATGGGAACAGTAAAGAATTCACCTATATTTTGAATAGAATTTTCATGAAAGTTAACTACTAATGTATGGTTGGACTTCGAGGAAACATTTAGATATTTCACGTAAGTGGAAAGCTATCAGACAAATGGAAACTGACTAATTACTGCAAGTTGTTGCAACTTGTCTACAATTGTCTATTAAAACCATTGTTAATTATCTACAACACAAACAGGTGGCCACTATCTGTCAAAATCAGGCTTGCAATGCAGTCATAGGTATAGCACCTGCTCCAAGACTGAATCAGATGTTCACAACTGGATGCTGTGTCAATATCAAAACGTTATAAACAGACCTCATGAGGATGTCTTATATGCCAGACACTCACTGAGGTGCATTTCATTCATTATTAGGCATAAAACTGTTCCTCACCAATTGTTCCTAGAATGCATTCTGTGAGCCAACAACATGAGAAGCAATGTTATTTTTACAGTTGAGTCACACTTCACTATAAATAAAATAGATTCTGGGACAACTGGTGGTGACTTCAACCTAGTGAATAATAGTGCCTGCCCCAACTATGCTAAACTGGTTGATACTTTCCTGAGAAAAAAAGGGATTGACTAAATGGAATAGCCTGCACATTCACTAGACTTCAATTCTGTCATGTATGTAGGAAATGAGTCAAGTTTTGCCAAGTGACTCCAAATGTTAATTCGTGGAAGGGTTTTTCCATTACTGTAATTGGCATAAATGTGTAGGTGGAGATGATGTCTAGCATGTGTAAATATACAGGTGGATATGATAAAGGGTTAAAGATGCCTTGGGAACAGCTCTTTCAGGGAGTGGTTGAGAATATTTTGGGATCTCATCAACACTGACTTTAAGTATGCAGTATTGGTGCCAGGCTGTCTTTGCTGTTTGTGTTGACCATATTTCTCACTGAAGTGAAATGTCATAAACTATAATGATATAAAGCCCTCTCTTCCAAAAAGTCTTGAGATATATGATAAGAATACTGAAATTCCTGATAAATGAAGAGTAATGTGAAGAAAAAAAATGCTGAGATGATTTATATTGCAAACATTAGGCCTATTGGTTTACAGTGCTTCACCAGCTTTCAGTGTTCAAAACTGTAAAAACATATTTTATTTCAGTTTGAAAATGGTACATAACTTTCCCTTTTTCACTTTTAGAAAAGGAAGTAGGAGGAAACTTCCACCAGTCATCAAAGAAACACTTAATAAGAAGCTTTGTAAGGAGACAGAAAAGGAAAACAAAAATGAGCTTGCCAAACGACTTGAAGAATCATCAACAGAAAGTGAAAGTTCTGAAGTAAGTTCAACTTTCAAACCACTACAATAAAAGAGTGAATTTAATGAAAACAGTTTAACTATTCATTAATTTTTGTGTGACTAGATCTGTGCATGTAATCATTTAAACACCTAATTTAGTTGTGTGAAATTTGTTGTAATACAGATTAATGTATTTTATTATTTGAGATTTTTTTAAATTTTAAGTACCTCATTTTAGTTGTTTATTCACTTTTTAAATGTCTTATAACATATGAGTAACAGTTTCATTTATAAACTGGAATATTTCATCTACGAAATTTCTGGGTTTTATAATCTGTGATATTTCACATTTTTAAGAATCAGTAAAGCTAATCAGTGCATAAATAAAAAGATTAGCCCTCACTCTGTGTTCAAAATTCTTATTTTTCTGTGAAGTTATTTTTAGTATGCTAAAAAATAACTAATATTGTGTTAATCCACTCAGTTTTGATTAAGACTAAAAGTTCTTGTATATAAGTTTTCAAAAAAATTACATATGAAAATTGCATCCAGCAAGATATGGTAATTGGAATGCTTAGAATTATGAGAGAATTAAGAATAGAAATAACTGATTCCGATCTTTCAACAACAAGGATGAAGAAATTGATCATATAGTTGAAATTACCATCCCAGGGATATTGAGGGAGATTCTCGAAGAGGACTACCACAACATTAATAACAAAAAAATGGTGGGTCACAAATAATGTGCTTGAAAAAATAACCTAGCTTCTAATTGAAATTAAATGAATAATCTGGTACAGAATTACTTTTCCCATTTGTGCTACTCTCTATATGAAAACGTTTTTCCAAACACATGCCACAAGCCTTCCACATACCTTTGTTGGAATCCAAAATTCCAACATGTCTCTTATGCAAATCATTATGTGTCAACTCTCCACCAATAGGAGAGCACTACTATCATGTGATGCATGTGACTCTCGATATGCTCCAGTACCGAACCATCACTTCTTGTTTGGCAGTGCTTGAGTGCATTTGTCTTTCTATAGATCACTGATTACCCTAGAAGTGATTTAATATTATTTAACTTAGTTCAACTTCATTTAATTTAATTTCACTTTTATTTAAGATCACTTGATTTACCTGTGTTTCCTGTGCATTTTTTGCTTGTTTAGTATCTAGCCTGCATTCCAAAGTCGCTGTTACCACTTCAGGTGCATAACACTCTTCTGTTGCCAGGTTGTTAGGGTGCTCGACTTGCAATCTGCGGGTCATGGGTTCAAATCCCACCAGATATGCTTGCCCTTTCAGCTGTGGGATTATAATGTGCATAATGGTCAATCCCACTATTTGTTGGTAAAAGAATAACCCAAGAGTTGGCGGTGGGTGGTGATGGCTAGCTCTCTTCTCTCTGGTGTTTCACTGGTAAATTAGGGACGGCTAACACAGATAGCCCTTGTGTAGCTTTGCACGAAATTCAAAACAAAAAACATTCATTTGTTACAGCACTTTCAGCCACAGGCACGGGCAACCTTTGCTCACGGGTTGATGGAGCATTATATAGAACACACATTGTCTTCTGTTCATGCCATTCTTCTTCCTGTACTTTTCGATCCTTTTATAGGTACAAGCTGATGAAATTTTGATCTTCTTAACACCCACCCCCCCAGAGTTCGCCGTGCCTTCCCACACCTTTCTGAGGATTCTTTAAGCCTTTGTCTGCTTTCTCAGAGACCATATCTCAGGTATGTGATGTTTTATCTCTTACCATAGTTATTTTGACCCACGTCATTCCTTATTGCTTGTTTCTATTTCAATACCTTGTTTTTCCCCCTGTCCCCTTATGTTCGGGTTTACACTGTGCTTTTTTGCCCTGTTGGGTGATGGTATTGGTATGCCTAGTTCTCCACAGGCTTCTGGTCGGTCCATCCTTGTGACTTTTAGGGCAAGCTCCCAAATTCTGGACCGCCAATTGTGGGTTCAGTTTTAGCTGTTTGGGGGATGGATCCCAATTTTCCTGTTCATCCTACCTATGCCCCATTGTCTCACCTTGGTCTTCCTCTGACATTCTTTGTAATACCTTCTCTCAATCTTCTTCCTGTGTGAGGCTCTTAACGAGAACCCTATGGAGTTTTCTGAGGACATCCTCTTCCCTTCCAATGTCAGTCTCATGTTGTCTTCGGATCTGGCCCTACACGCCTGGTTCATTTCTCTTTGGGACTTTTGGGTCATGATGCTATACTCTTGCAAACCCGTCATCTGGCTCCTTATTTACGGGACCTTCATATGGCCCCGTTTTTATGATGTTTCGAGTGTGATACGATTACTGTGTCCTTGGAGTCGCAGGTGGCTTCAGTCCTACAGTGATCCACCTTTCACATCGGGTGCCTGTTGGTTTCCGTCGGAGCTGAGTATGGTTCCAAGTCCCGTTTCCAGACCCTACCCTTCACAGCCCTGCTTGTCGCAGCTTCCCACGGCTTCTCAGTTTGCCGTTTTTGCAGCGATACATGATATACAGGCAATGTTGAATTTTATTCATTGGAACAACCTTTTCCTCTCCAAAGTTCTGGTTCATGGTGTTCTATCAGAGGGTTTTTCATACGCTTTTCCTCTCTGTTCCATTTCCTTCCTCCTACCCAGGATCCCTGGTCATGCCAGTGTCTTCCGAGGCAGTACTCAATCTCTTCACCCAACAGGTTGTTGTACCTGCAACACGCAAGTCACGCAAGGGAGTGTTACACCCACCAGTTTGCCTTTCATGAGGTAATATACCATTTTAGCACCCTACCCTTTGGTCTGGCTACTGTGTCATATGTTTTTGTTGAGTGGTTCACACCTATGCATGGCATATTCATACCCTGGAGCTGCACTTCCACGCTTACATGGACAACTGGCTTCTTCTTGCCCATTCCGACTGGGATTCAACCAGTCCTACTCGTCAGCTCCTTCTCAACACTGTGCTGGTGGGATGGTTGATCATATTGGAGGGGTTCTTCCTTCATCCTACCCATTGCCTTGTACATCTGGGTGTTTTCTTCAACACCCATCTCAGTTGAGCCCAACCTTCTCCTCTCTGATTCCATTCTATGGAACTGGCCATACAGACAGCCCTGTCTGCTCCCTTACTTACTGCTGCCAAGATTCTATTGCTGTTGGGGAGGTAGTCCTCTCTTGTAGGGCTCAGTGGACCTTTCATGACTAGTGGAACCTTGCACGGGATTCCCTGGATGATCCTATTAACCTTCCCTCCTCCTTAATGGTTGATCTACATTGGTGGTTTGACAAGGCCCATATTTCCGATGGCAAACTTCCTCTTCCTGTGATCTTACCCCTGGTACCCTGATCAATTGGGTTCATCGTTTGATCCAGTTGCCTTATTTCTCCTTGTCTCTCTACCAGTGTGATCTCTTTTCCATGTGTACCCATCAAATCTGATGCCTTACCTTCTCCTTTGCTTCTCATCTTTGTTGGCCATTGGAGGAGATCCTACAGTCGGGCACATGGATGACACATATTCATCTCTCTCTACTTGCACCACATCATGATTTCTGCTTCCTTGGGGTATTGCCTGCCACCTTTGACTATTCTACAGACTTTAGCATGGCTTTGAGATGAGGTAAGTATCTCTTTATGCTTTCTTTTCTTTCAGTAGCCCTTGCTTCAACTTCACTTTGGATCCCACTCTGTGTTGAGTGGTGCCTGACCAGGTATTTTTTCTGCACACTGAATGGGTTCCACATAGATGGCTATAACCATTCTCAGATATATTTATACTCAAACAAACAAAACACAAATCTGCACTGTACGCCATGTTGATTCACACACTTTATCCATGGCTAAGCATGCTCACCCTTTAGATGGGTGTTTTATAAGATCACTAGACTGTGAATAACCTCATGATGTTTGCTTCATAAAAATGTCTGTCCCGGACCTTACCACCCATGAATGGCATGGGTAAAGCAGAAGGGGATCACTGCTCATCTCTACCATGCTTGGACTGAATAAGTCGGTATGTTTTGCATTTCAAAATAGGGTTTCATGATCACCCATTCAGCTGTCTCGTGTGTAGCAGTCCCATCAGACTCTCCAATGCACTTCTTCCCCCCCTTTCTTCCAGTGGAGCATGCGAGTCCTTACCACTCACCAGATTCAAGCCACTGGGGTGGGTGACCATGGAGGCAACCTGCTGAATGGGTTCCACAAAGATGGCTAACTGTTCAGTTCAGAGTATATTGGGGATGTTCTGCCAGTGTAGAAGGAATTACAAGATCCTCCAGATGAGTGACACATGCCCGGAGTGAGACACCTAAATGCAGTTAACCTCTCCGATTGGGTGTCCTATTTCTACCCTCACATAAATGTCGGTTCCTAGCGAGTGAGGTTTTGGAGATTGAGTGAACCAATCACTTAAGTCCTCACACAGGTTTCGGGTTCTAAACCTTCTCCCTTTGTCTCTGTCTTCTGTGTTGTGGGTTGCAGGAGGTCTATGTAGCCTATTTCCACTTCATCCTGGACATTCCCTCGTTCTTAGAATGACAAGTATTTACAGACATGTGGACATTTTGGACCGGTTTCACGGTTGCTGGGATTGATTGCTTGCTATGGACTTCCCTTGGATGACACATTCCTGAGTCCCTAACTCAATGCTCATCTTGTGACGTTTTCTGGAGTCTATTTTATGTACATTCATGACTCTAGGGCTTGAGGTGAAGATGATATGATCCTCATCCTATCCTCGTGTAGATGTTGGTATCCAGCAAGTGAGGTTTTGGATGTAGTTGACTTACCGAATATGGTCCGATGCACTCTAGCCACTCTATACCATGGGACACATACTCCATTACCCACTTTCATTATGTCGGATTGAGTGTATCTGTTTCTTTGATTGGGATCACATTAATAACCTATCCTCTCTCACGCGGATGTGCTCCCTGCATATTCCTCCATTTTTTGATCCCACCTGTTCATGGCAAAGAGATATCTGGTACAGAAGTGGTGCAATACCCCTTCTCAGGTCATCTGATCTGTTTCTCTCATTCCCACGGATGTCCTTTGGATACTTTTGAGGGATACACCTGTTCTTCTCTCACACAGGGAAGGTACCACATCAGAAGTTATAATTTTCCTATACAAAAGTGTATTTCTGATAGGTATTTCACACTTACTACCCTTCCTCCCCACAATCTTCTGGTGTTTGCATCTTCTGCCAAACTTTGAAGTGATGATTCAGTAGTGATGCATAGAGGGAGTCACGTGATAGTAGTGATCTTGTATTGGTGGAGAGTTGACACATGATGATTTGCATTAGTGACATTTTGGAACTTTAGATTCCAACAGAGAGATGTGGCAGGCTTGGTACAGTGCAGTGTCTTGAATTGTGTGATCAGCATGGATCAAGGTGCAGTGTCATGAATTGTGTGATCAACATGGATCAAGGTGTGGTGCAGTGCAATGTAATGAATTGTGTGATCATTGTGTATGAAGGTGTGGTTTAGTGCAATGTCATGAATTGTGTGATCAGCATGGATCAAAGTGTGGTATAGTGCATTGTTGAATTGTGTAGCCAAGGTGTGGTGCAGTACTGTGTCATGGATTGTGATCAGTGTGGGTCAAGGTGTGGTTTGAAAGTTGAACTTATTCCAGAGCTTTCACTTTCTGTTGATGATTCTTCAGTTTATTTGGCTAGCTCATTTTGTTTTCCTTTTCTGTCTCTTTACAAGGTGTGATGCAGTTCTGTGTCATGAATTGTCTGGTCAAGGCAGAACAAGGTGTGATTGAATGCAGTGTCATAAATTGTCTGGTCAAGGCAGAACAAGGTGTGATTGAATGCAGTGTCATGAATTGTCTGGTCTAGGTGTGGTGCAGTTCTGTGTCAGTGAATTGAGTGGTCAAAATATAGTACAGTTTTGTGTCAATGGATTGAGTGGTCAAGGTGTGGTACAGTACTATATCATGAATTTTGTGATGAAGGTGTGGTACAGTACTATATCATGAATTGAGTGATAATTTTTTTAATGAGTGGTGATATATTAATGTGTTTTTCAACAAATTTGGAATCTTTTTTTTTTCTTAATTAAAATTGAAAATACTTTAATCAAAATAGTTGAATTGGTTATGATTTCCCCCAAAAAACTAGTTTTGATGCATGAATATTCCACACTGAAAAATAATGCTTTTGAATTTCCTAAGAAGTATGTCAGTGAAATGAATGTGGGAACTGTGTCACAAAATTCTGTATTAATTCCTGAGTTTAGCTGTTTTTTAGTATGTACTGTATAGTGTATCATCTGTTGCGTTAAATATTTATTTTGATCAGTAATTTTAATTCTTCAGCTGGTGAGACTTCCTTCTGAACCAAATGTTGTGTCTCTACTAGAAGCTTATGCCAAATCTGTTGCAGTAAATACTGTGTGTTCATCCCCACCCAAAAATTCCAAAAACCACAGCCAGTCTCAACATTTATCAGCTGATTCACGAATTCGGTATGTTTTTAGTTGGTATTCATGCTATTTGCTTTGACTAATATAAAAGTAAAGCAAAAGGATAATTAAAGTGCTGAAAGCAAGTTAATTTTGAATACTGTTGATATAAAAAAATTCCCAATGATTTAATTAGATGGTTTTTCTTTGTGAATATAAATGTATATCTAGTTAACTGTAATTTTTTTTTGAAAATTATAAATCTCTTCATATTTTTAGTATTAATATTTTGCCATTTTGTTACATTTATTTATGTAATTTAAAAAGAAAATTTTAAAAAGTGTAATTTTTCATTTCTGCATAGCTCTAAGTAGTCTTACATTTAGACAATGAAATTTAGTGATTTTTTTAAAGAATTTTTATGCCCATCCCAAAAGTATAGGTTATTTTGCTAAGAAACTATCATCCCTTGAGAATATAATTTTCCATATCTTGTTTCTCAGGTAATTTTCATTTCATGTTACTGGTTTTATTACCACAGTCCTTCAGTGACATACTTTTATGATGCCAGGCATGTGGTCTGAACAATTACTAGAGGAGCTCAACTTTGAACTAATCTATAGCCATAAATATGATTGGATAGATCATGTTATAAGCTATTTTCTTTAGAGTAAATAAAGTGGTTTGAGTAATAATTTATGGTTTCTTATGAAAACTAACTGGAGGTCCTGTAGGAGTGAACATTTAGACATTCTTTTCATTCCTGAAAATGTTTTTGCATTCATTTATATTTGCTTGAAACCTACAGATATTTTCTTCTATGAAACTACATGGATAAGCTTAATTTGGCTTAATAAGTACAGTAGACAACAGCAAAATATTTATAATGAATCAAATTCTTATTTATTGATTGTTATTAAGTTTATTTTATTCAGATAATACACACAACAAAAGAACTTACTATTTATTGAAAAGAAACTATTTATTAGATGCAGATTCATCTAGACCAAAAAATATTAACAAAAATTCTTGATGCCTATCCTGAAAAAAGTAATGATGATGCCATTTTGAAAAATGAAGTCCTAGGTTACAAATAGCTTCTGCTATGTTTGTTTCTATGATTTATAGCCAGAAGTGCAATTGGCAAAATGGTATTTCACAGTCTAAAAAATAACAGAAATCCTAAATCAAATTACATGATTTTTAATAGCACAAACTTGGTAGTATTTTTGTTCAATACTTTTGTACTAAGTTTCATGTAATTTGGTTAAGTATTTCTACTGTGAGAAAGAAAAAATCAAAATATATCAGTGACACCTCTTCAGGCTTGACAGGGTTAATCATGAATTACTGGCTTGGACAGAGATTGAAAATTTTCATTTTCATAAATCAGTATGTTTTCTTGTAAACATGGATGCTGTGTGGGCTAGTCATTGGAGTTCGACTTAACACAGTTAACAATAGATTTATTTAAAATCCAGGTTGTACAGTCTCGAGTGGAGTACACAAGTCACAAACTCGAGTAAGTTTACAGTTTGAAAAAAGAATTGTCTTGAAGATCAAGCTTCAAAACAACACTTCAATGCAATATGTAAGATACTTGGCCATATCAAAATTACCAAAAGTATCTTTAAAAGTTTCACTGTTAAAACTGTTAAATTCTGCAATCTGAGCAGGCAACTGCTCTTCAATTAGACTTTCTATAATATCCATTAAATTACTTAATACTATCAGTAAATTATCAATTAATACATTGATTGAAATCTGCTCAGACATAACTTCATTAATATTAAACCCAAATACATTCAATTTCAAACTACATTATTTGACTGTTACATACATAGCGCTTGAGCAGGAAATGTTAGTTGTTCTGGGCTCAGGCTCAGGGGGGATAAGGCAGCATCAGTTTTCTTCAACCTGCAGTAGGGTATTTGGCTTCTTGATTTGAGCCAGAAGACTGACCTTTTAGCCCAAAAACATGAGTTTGTTTTATATATGAATTTCTTTGGTATTCTTATGATTCTCCTTATAGTGTACACATCCAACTTGCAAGTAGATCTGTCACTTAATTGTATGAATTTTGCTGACTCATCGTAATTTTCAGAACTAAGACAAAGACTAATTTAATAATTGTTTTTGATCGAGGATGGTAAATTAGCAACCTATTTCTCCATGTATTTCTCCTCATCCTCTTCAGATCAAAGTTCTACCCAGAGTTTCTGATTTCCTTGCTAATTCCTTTTATGGAAGTTGTGTCCAGTCTTCAATGAAGTTAATATAAACTTCCTCATAGCTTTCTCTCTGCTGCAGTGGCATTGGTTTATAGATAATGTAAACAGTTGATTCTCAATACTGCCTAGAATGCATCTTAGGCTATACTTTACATATATGTTTACTTTCTTGATCAATCATTGTTGTAACTTCTCATATACATTTATTAGATGTGCCCAATGTTTCATCGTATTGCATGCATGTATGTCATTTGTGGAATTTTATAAAATTATATTTCTCATTTCTTGAAACATCTGAAAATGCCTCAAAATGCTGCAAATGCTTCATTACCAACTCCCTGATTTTGTTTAATCAGTCTTTAAGTATTATGCATGGCATTGCTGTTGAACATGGCTTTGAAACTTTTCTCGGGTATACAAAAATATCAAACATACCATCTCTGCTATCTATTACAGTGGAGAATGAGTTAGCATTCAGTTTCACTAAAACATGCTGCCTGCAGTTCTCCATACTTATCTTTATACTGGCCACAATCAACGTTAAAAGTTATAGTTAATGCCTGAAACCAAATTGTAAGAGTATTGTGTGTTGATTTTTAGAATTGACAAAAAAATCTACAGCAGTTTCAGTCTATTAACACAAATTCATTTAAAGTGTAATATGATTAAATGCCTAAATAAAAATAGATGAATAGCACTTAAGTTTTAGTTTTAATTCTACTCAAAATGTTTCAATTATATTTTAATCTACAGATTATAATTTAAAACCTTTGATCAACTAAAAATAATGTTATTACTTGTAATATTCAGATTAATTAACCTATTTTCCTGGTAGTAACTTATTCTAAACAAAAATAATGATGACCAGTATATGCAGTACATTCAAGAATGTTCATTTGTAGATTAGTTGTTATCTGTGTGACGTTCCTTGTGATACAAGGGAAATGTGGTGGCACTAAGCACTTCTGCCTTTGAAAAAAGTCTCTCATAATAAGAACAATATTATGATTGACTTGCTAGAATATACACAGGCCTTACATTTATTTTTTTTATTATTGCAGAAATCCTGATTAATGAACAGGCTTTTATATAAGGACTGTCTTTATCACTAGTCATAGTGAGACTTTTAAGTAATTGAAGTTTGTTCCAGTGTGATGATATAGTACCCACCTTCATACTCATTTGATTCTGCAGCCACTTTGTAGTTGAACTAATCTATTCTGATGGCATGATTAATACAACAGAATAACCTGCTCAATTTCTTACCAGACCCACATTTGTGAAGAAAAAAATTATTTGTGAAATATTTTCAAATCTAAAAACAGGTTTGTTTTTTAGTAAATATTTTTAGTTACCAAACACATCGTATTTTTGGGGGAAGTCCCTAAGGACAAATGTATATTATTTTCAGTTCACTGGTTTTAAAAAATAAAGGGAGTCAAAAAAACACTTAAACTATGGGTATATATTTATACACTAACACACACACACACACACACACACACACACACACACACACACACACACACACACACACAACGAAGAATAATACACTACCGAACCACTACTACTTAACGTAAGTTAGTTAGTTTATAGAAGAAGACGTACGTACCGTACTACGACGACTACGTAGTAGG